CCCGCCGAACATCGTACGATGCTCGGCGGGTTTTCAAACATGTTCGTAAGTTAAAAGTCGCGTGACCTTACAGTAGTAGAGGTCGCACGGCTTCCACACACCTTACGATAATCGTACGATCGCGGGATTTCCCGCGATTATCGTACGATTATCGTAAGGTGTGTGGGGACCCTGAGGCTTTAACCCGAGATTTGAACAAGATGGTGCTATGCAGCAGGGCATGACATATCATAAAAAGAGAGACATGAGGAACCATGATTTTCACGCATCATGTATTTTGTTCACACTAATTTCATTTAAACAAGAACTTGAGGCAGATAAAAAAGGTCTCAAAAAATTCAGTGGTCTAACAATAGGCATATCAGACCACATGGCTGCTATGGGGCCCGGGGCTGGGAAGGGACGCCATTATGCCCTTAAATACTTAGGGGGGTATTCGGCTCGTAAAAATAGCCGCACGCGGCTGCAGTGAATAGCCGAAGAGGCTTCGGCCTCCTTCACTCCAGGTCGGTTATTCATTTGGCTGCCTTTGGCAGCTTAGTGAAACCCCCCCTAATTATCAGAGTATCTGAACTTACAGTTTTATCTCCTACAAATATCTGTTAGTCCTGCCAGTAAAGTCCACCTAATGCAGCTTGATGTGATGGGGTGGCAACAATGCTGCATTGCTCCTGAATTCAGAGCACAGTTGTCACTCTCATATAGATTGTGCCTGCTTGTAATACAGTGGGGTCAGATGATGCTGCAGGGGGGCATGGCTATCAGCATTGTCACTGCTGATTCATAAGTCTGTAGCTTGTCAATCAGCACATAGTCCACTGCTTTCTGGATTGACAGCACTCAAACTGGAATCCTTCCACTGTGAGCTGCAGTGTCTGGGAGGGGTAGCATATGAGACACAAATGAAGGAAGATTTGGCTCAGTCAGGAAAGGTAAAGGAAGTTTGTTTTGTTGTTTGTGCATTACATTACATAACTGGATTCCGAACTTGTTTAGGCTGTCATACAGGTCATACAATGTCATCCTGTCCCTGTGAGTCCAATACATAGAATGGAGTAACAGTTGTCCCCAGGACAGGAAGGCAAGCACAGTGATCAGGGCCGGTGCTAGGATTCTTACCTAGACATGCAAAGTTGCATTTGTGCCCCCCCGACCCCTTGTCGCGCTGGGCCTGCTCCCTATCAGTATGTTTTTTTTTCACTTACCTTCGGTGCGGGAGAGCAGCGGCGAGTCAGCGCTGGTCCGGTGGGAGGAGCTCCAGGTGGGGGTCCTAATTTAGCTGGCCGGCGACTTCCTGAGGATCTCGACACGCGCGGCAGGTTTCCATTCTCCCATCCCAAAAAAAGGTGCATCCTGGAACCCGACCCAGACCCGATTCTGAGGAGCACATTGTCAGATAACATCAGTGGGTTTTA